TTTAAGTGTCCATTGTTGAGCTGGTTCCCTGACTCCTATTGATTTCTTCTCTACTCCGCAGTGCCACTTCTTGTCGTTGCCACCCTTCTCCCAACCACATTTACTTTTTTTTTTCTTTTTGTGGATTTCAAGGCTCCATCTTTCTTCTTGTCCAACACCTATTCTTCATCAATGTCCATCCCTCCTAGGCATCTTCTGCCTGTTTCGTGCTACCATATACCCGCTCCTTTTATGTTTCTATCCCTTAGTCTTTGGAAATTCTAGATTATCCATTGCTCCACTTGCAGTGCTTCTCTTTTTTCTTACCACGTCTCTATTAATTTTTCCTTCCTCTACTATGTTTTTTTCCTACCCTGCTGCTGGCTCAACGATCTGACATACATTCGTTCAAATTAGAGGCAAGTCAGAACCTTTCAAATCTTTTGGTTGGTTTGCCTTTTAGCTCTTCATTCAAGCGTTTCTTGTGCTCTTCTTATACAGAAGTTCATACTCGTTTGATCCTTCATCATTTTGGTTCTTCCGTTTGTAAATAGAACAAAGTTCAATATTTGTTTTTCCCCGAGTGGAAAATATAGAGGATATTGTCCAATAAAGGACGCGATAAGAATAATAGAAAGCTTATTCAGATGATTACATTTAAAGCATATTGTCCGCTGAAGGATGTGTTAATAATAAAGTTAGTATTTTTTTATGATTAAATTTAACTGGATCAAAGAAAAATTCTATTATTATTTGAACTTTTTCTCGATCATCATAGTAAAACTAATTTGATTTTTTACTGTTCTATGAAAGCTCATTTAGTTTAGAAGATAACTAAGTGAATACATTTAGTCTCAACGCAATTGAATATGTTCATGATTTCTACCTTTTTGTACTTTTGTTACATCATTTTCTTTTACAGTGCCAGTCCCAGCTGAAAAGACTTTATGCAGAAGGAATCAAAGGATGCCAGATGGAGTTTTCAGCTTATAATCTCCTTTGTGCTATTTTACACTCAAAAAATAAAAGGGATCTTTTATCATCAATGAAAAGGTACTGGAAACTCTTGCATTTTTGTTTTACCTCAGTCTATGCTCATACCTTTTTTTAAATAGCATGCCCAAGATTTTACAGTAGATATTATCCTTGAAATTTAGTTTTTAAACTTATTTTTGATGGCGGTGGATGGGGCTGGATGGTTTTTGGTGCCCCTAAGATGTACTTCGGTACTCCAATCTGTCTATGAGAGTTGGTTTCTAGGCATGGGCACTGGTGTTGGGTCCTTGGACCAATCCATGCCCCCAAACCCAGTCATCCACCCTACTAAGTTTCCGCATGGCATCCAGAACTTCCCATACTATTCATTGTATAAAACCTGAAGTGTATTGGTTAAAATTACTTTTTATAAAGTATAAAATACACTTTTTGTAAGAATTTGATCATCTTTATGCTAATTATATCATGCGACTATCCATCTGATCTCTTGAGTGTTTGCTCTCAGTTTGTCAAATGAGGCAAAAAAGGATGAAACTGTAAAGAATGCTCTTGCTGTGCACTCTGCTGTTTCATCTGGAAATTATGTGCTGTTTTTCAGGTTATATAATTCTGCTTCAAGTTTGATTACCAGCCTTATGGGTACATGGACTGACACTTGCTCTTTTCATATAACATTAAATTAGTTGTGATCTTATTTTAGCTCTTTGCGCTGTAGATCTCCACGTAGAAAAGATGAGGTTTGAAGCTATGAAATGCATTTGTAAATCATACAGACCAACAGTTCCTGTTACATATATAGCACATGTGTTGGGCTTCTCAACTTCAGTGAAAACAGGTGTTGATCATGAAAACGGTGCAAATGGACTTGATGAGTGTGAAGAGTGGTTGAAGGCTCATGGTGCAGTTCTTACTTTTGAAAACAATTCAGAACTGCAACTGGATACAAAGGTATGCTAAATTAATCTTATTTGATTAATCTTGCATGGGTTCTTTTAAAGTCTCATGTTTAGTACCTCGTCCTTGATCTGATTCATTCGTTTGTTTGGAGGGATTTTTTTAACAAAGCATAAAATTATAATCGGATAATATGCATCAGAGGCAATTATAAGGAATTACCAAAAAAAAATATACAAAAGCGAAAACACAATTTAAGATAATGTGCCGGCGAAGATAAATCTATCCATCTAATAGCTGAAGAGATTCATGAAGTTCTGTCAATACCTTTTGCTTGTAGACTAGTGAATATTAGAGAATGATGATAATTTTTTTCAAATTTTCTGCCCTGCCTTGAAAATGGAATTGAAATCAAGCTGCCATCTAACTCAAAAAGCTGTTCTTATTCTATGATATTTACATCCTCAACAAAAGGAAGAGAATGAAGGGGCTAACTCATCTGGAGGGTTTTTACCAATGTTTTGGATGCAGATGGGGTTATGACATCCTTCTTTGTGCTTAGTTCAGTAGGGAGAGGGGGTCTTTAAAGGCTCTTATCCTGTAATACCTTCTATAATTTATTCCAAGTTTTATGTGCCCATTTATAGTGATGAATTTGGAATTGCATTCAACATGAGGCAGATAGATTTTGTTCATTTGTATGATCCCTTTGTTCCTTATGTTTATGATCAATAATAAATCTTTTCTATTTCAATTTTGGACACTCTTAGAAATAATAAAAGTAGTTATACCCATTATTTTGCAAAGAGATGCCTTCAAATATAAAATGTATTTGTGAAGAATTATATATGGAACGATTCCAAATCTCTCTGCAAAGAGGCATAATAACATCCATTACCGCCATAACCTTTGTCATAAACAATATAGGAAGAAGAGCGATAATAATATCAACTTACAAGGGTTTGCCAAAGTGTGAGACTAGAGAACAAAACGTAAGATGTATTATTTGATAGAATGCTCACAAGTGCAGTCAAGTCCAGGTGGTGGGATGAATACGGTGGCGAAGCCCTGGGTAGAATGGGACTACTTTTGGTAAGATTTAAATATAGTATTATGGGCTTTAGGGTTACAAGCCAAGTGTGTCAAGCTGAACCCATTCAAGCATCCGCTTAGAGTTTGGCTTTTGACTTTCTCCCTTGGATTGAGATATATTTTTATTGTTAAATCCCTACCTGATTTCATATTCAGGCTAATAAAATTTTGTGAATTGTTAAATTAAAAGAAGTGAGAAATATGCAGATTTTAGTTGATTACATTTTAACATTAAAACAAACGGAAGGTTGATAGAGCTAATTTCCCAAAAAGAAAAATCCTGAACTTTTTAAAAAAAAAAATTAACTTTTTAATCCATTTGGTCAATACCAGCTGCCATAACAGTTGTAAGAATCCTCGCTTGTGCCTGATTTTCTTTCAATTTCCAATACATTATAGGTGATCGCTCCGCTTGTGAACTTTCTGTTATGTAACACATTCACTGTACAGTGTAAGTTAATTTTTCTGACTGGCCATTTTTTTTTGATGTTGACTTTTGCAGGCTTCCTCGTCTACTCTTTACATGCCAGAACCAGAGGACACTGTTGCACATGGTGATGCAAATCTTGCTGTGGATGACTTTTTCACTCGGGCTTCTTGATGTCGCGCAAACGAGAAAATGCCTTGAACATGAACCTTGTACTTTTGCCAGGTAAAATATACATAAAAATTGTCAAGCAATTGTGATGCTCTTATTATTATTATTATTATTATTTTAATGGCGGAGTATACATGAAATCAATTGAAGGCCCAAACTTCCCATAGAATCGTTAGATTTCCTTACATGCCAGAAGTTTGGCATATATATACATATTTTCAGGATCATTACTTGTCAGTGGAGATCTGGCCCTGGAGTTTTTGATTGTTTTTACCTCTAAAAAACTTGTTAAGGTTGGGTCAACACATCTGTAAATTTCATCAGCCCCAGCTAAATAGAGCGGGCTCTGAGTTGTATCATTTGTTATTTATTGATACACTTAACATTGTCATCAAGATCTTATATCAAATAAATATTCTTGCAACATTGAAAGCCCTTTTTATTGGTTGATATAGAAAGTTTCCATTTTGTTATAATTGTTAATAATCGTCATGGTAAATTTGGCTTCAATAAATTAAACAAGAAAACTTTTTATTTAATATTTGCAATGGTATGCAACAGCTTGCTGAAGTTTATTCTATTTTTTCCTTTTTCATTTTGGTTCATGAGATATTTTTTTGACAGTATGATTGCTTTGCCCTTGTGTCACAATATGTTTACTAGGAAGCACAATTGTCAGTTGTTAATGCTTTTACATGAGAGTTTTAGGTATATCTGAAAGGTTATGATTAACAACATCCATATTGAAATATTATAATGGCTAAGAACTAGTCTCTGTTGAGGGATTGCCAGCGTTTGTTTCCTTTTATCTCTTTTGTTCTTCAGTATCTTCTACCCTTAAACTTCAATGTGTATTCTGTCTTGTTGGCTTTACTCTTTGTGGTTTGTGGTTTCCGCAGAAACCCAATTGTTTTCATTTTTGTTTTTTTATGTGAACCTCTGGAGAAATTGCATTTCATTTTCTATGTAGGAAGGATGAGATTTGGAAGTCACATTTTTTTTTTCTGTGAAATTTGGAGGAATGCATCAGGGCCATCAGGGCCTATTATGTGAAATTTGGTGTGGTTGCTCTTTGAGTTTGCTCTTTGTATTGATTGAATTGCCCTATGGTTTGCTCTCTTTTTCGGCTGGGTTGCTCATTGTGATTTGCATATTGTTTATGTTGGGTTGCTCATTGTGATTTCATGTTATCTCAATTGTGTTTCCTATGTGAATTGTTGTTTCATGAATGAGAGAACCTAATTTATGTATGATGATTCTATTTCGGTGTGGTTAACCTTTGTGGTTTGTGGCCTCTATCTATGCTTAGTGAATTTTGGGTTTGGTTACTCTATCTCAGTTGGGTAGCTCTTTTGCTCGGTTGAAATGATTCTCGCCACGCTTGTGATGATGGTATGTTAGTGGTAAATGATGTGGTGGTGTTGATGTGTTGCTGGTAATATTATGGTGATGTGTTTGTAGTAATTGTGTGGTGGTAGTGGTGGTCGTATGTTGGTGGTAATGGTGTGGTGTATTGGTGGTAATTGTGTGGTGGTGGTAGTGGTGTGGTGGTGATAATGGTGTGGTGGTGTGGTGATGTGGTGATAATGGTGGTGTGGTCGTAATGGTAGTGTATTGGTCGTAATGCTATGGTGGTGTGTTTGTGGTAATGAAGTGTTGGTGCTGTTGTGGTCGTTGTGGAAGTGTAATGGTGGTGTGGTCGTGGTGGAAGTGTGGTGGAAGTGTGGTCGTGGTGGTGTGGGCATGGTGGAAGTTTCGTGGTGGTGGTGGTAATGCGTTGATAGTTATTCATGTTTTTATGAGTTAAACTTTTATTGCTTGCAAATGTTTATGTTGCTTGATTCTTTTAATGCTAGTAGTCGTGAATGGTAAGACAAATTAGTTCGTCAGCTATTTGGGGTAAAAAGGTTAAGTTAATATTTTTCAATCTCTGCTTAAAGGAGGTGAAATGGAGAAATAGGCCAATCATCTATTTTAACAAAGATGACATAATATCATAAAAAAAATCAAGAAAAGCACTGAAAGAGAATATGATAGAATGTAATTGAAAAACAAATAAGATCAATTTAAAAAAAAAATTAAAAATATATGAAAAGAGTTAAAGCCAAGATCCACGGGCTTCGATTGAGATCTCATAAACCAAACCATTGATGCTTTGAAAGAATGACACACTGAGAAATTAGAGGTGAAAAATGATTGACATGTATTGCTTTTTATTTTTTATGTCAATTTCAATTACATCGACATATCAATTATCAATTAATTTGTAGGTCGTGTCAAATGACAAAATGTTTAAGTTCAGTGATATTGACCCTGAGCATGAAGAAAAGTTGGACGTAATGTTTGGTGAAGTTGTGGCCACAGGTAATTGTGCTTGGGTACCGAGTGAGAGTGCACACTAGCAGAGCTGATTATGCAGATGTTGAGAAAACTACAAACTCAAATGAAGGGTCAAATATTAACCTAAATGAAGTTGGATTTACTTGTCATTCTTAAAGTCCTAGAGTCGAGTAAGAGAAAAAAAATGATGAGACAATTAGTTGTTTCATGCCCCAATGAGTCTAGCACATCATATGCAACTACTATTCAACAAGTTATAAGAATACTCTAAGAAACTCCATAAATTCATGAAGATATGTCGTTTACTTGTTTTTAATGAAGTTGCTAGAAAATTTGATTAGAAAAGAGTTCTTTATGTCGATGAAACATGGTCGTAGGGTTAATTATTTTATGTTACTTCCATGATAATCAAGATGTATGATTCTTACGTTATTTTTGGACTTCTTTATGTTTGATTGATATGGGTGTAGAACATATTTTTATAGGTACCTATGCTACCATCTTTCATTACTTTTCAAATTTTCATTGCCATGGTTATTGTTAATGTATTTCTTGCTAATTTAATGTTATTTATATGATGTAGCTACTCAACAATGAATAACATGAATAGAGAAAGACGTAAAAGAAAAGTTACAACTGCATTATACTTAATGTATGAGTATTACAACTCATGTATTGCTCACACTCCTTGCATGATATTTAAATAGATAAATGGGTTGGAGAGTTTGTGGGTCATTCAACGAGATTTATCTGTTTCGTATGGCATGTAGAAGAACACAAAATCATGGACTCAATGACTCATTTAAGATGAGTGTTAGCTATAACACTCTATATTTCATCACAAAATGAATTTATGAGAGAAGTAATGAAGTGATTTCATTAACAATTAGAAATAATTAATAAATATTTTTAAGTTGGTTTAGATGCTCGGATTAGCTTATCTTCAAATGTTATCAAACCTGATGACCCTACATTCCAAAGCACCGCTGTAGAGAAATTGCTTGGTGAAGTTGTGGCCACAGGTAATTGTGCTTGGGAAAGATGCCCTACATTCCAAAGCACCGCTGTAGAGAAATTGCAAGATCAACCTTCTATGTCCTATTTTAAGGTAGATTATTTTGTTTATCTTTTTTAAAATTTACTTAAATGTAGTAACTCTGATATATTACATAAATGAATTAGGATTGTGTTGGAGAAATTAATGGGACATGTGAATTCACGCATGCCTAACGGTAAAAAGATTGTGTACTTTGGATGTTGTAATTGATCAACACAACATGTTATGTTTGTATGTGATTTCAATATATTTTTCACTTTTGTAATGAAATGATGAGAAGACAACGTACGTGATAGTCGCATATCCAAATTTTCTACATGAACTCTTAAATTCAAAGTTCCAAAGCTGTCTCCAGATTAGCTTGAATATGAATAACTAAAATAATACTTTTAGTAAATACTAATTATTATATTTTTAACCGAGAAACTTTATTGGGTTGATGTCGGTTATTTTTTACAAACAGGGTATTTCAAACCCTATGTTGATACAAAATATCACATTTCTGATTTTGAAGGTGAAGATTTGTCATGTCCCTATTGAAGAATATGAATATCACCTATGACAGTCAATGTCACATGTTGAATGTGATTTACCTAAGACTTGTACCCAGAATGGGGATGGTGTTGGGGAGATGAAGTTGTGAGAGTAAATTACAAATGCATATGTTAATGGGCGAGACAATGTAGTGTGCTACTTTTTCTGTATTTATGTATAATGTGATGTGAAAACACTTAATGTTTATTATAATGAGGCTTTATGCAATGATATTTATGCAGGATTTCAATTTCATGCAAATCATTTTTTCATTCTTTCTGCATTTATATTTTCTTGTATGAATATATATGTATATATATATGTATATATATATATATGTATGTATATATATATATATATATATATATATTCATGTCTTTTTTTAGTTTAGAGATTTATGAGATATATGACCTTATGAGTTCTTCTGGATGACCTATATGTTGCTATAGATTTTGGATGTGCATGAAATCATCATCAAGTCAACCAAGATTCCCTTCTTTTTCAGTCATATGACTGTTCGGGCTTTTCATTGTGGTGATATGCTTCTATTATTGCATGGTTTAAAGGCAACTGAGATCTTCTTTTTTAGTCATGACTGTTAGGATTCTTCTCGATGGTCTTTGTGGTCATATGCTTTTGTGATACATACGAGCTCGGTATTGCATGGTTTAAAGACAACTAAGATCCCCTTTTTAAGGTCTTTTATTTTCTCGTAGTGATAGATTATTCATTGCTTTTTCTTCTTTGCTTTGAGGTCTCAAATCCTTATAAAATTTTAATTTTGCAATTCTATTATTCTTATTAGATAATGTTGCATCTAATTGTTTATAGTTTGGGATTTTAAATCTTCAACAAATATAAGTTCGAGGTCTTCTGGTGTCTTCATAGTCTTGTATTGCAACTGTGGATTGTAGTATTCTCTGCGTACTTTATGACTAGATCATAGCTATAGGCGAACTGATGTCTGAAAAATAAATCAATAGAGGATTATGACTTCTTTAGGTGGACTGATCACTTAGAAGATTCTGATACATCGAAAATATATGCATTTTTAGACCCATATTTATACTTATTTTTGGTAATATTAATTTATACTTATTTTTGATAATATTACAATTTAATGGAAGGTATTTTGATATTTTCTTGCATGTTGTACTTTAATAGACATTTTTAGACCCCTATAACAAAAATTCTTGGCTAAATATTTTCAACCCGCGAAGACCGTTAAGCTTAGAAATGATATTACATCTTTTCGTCAGTTTGAATGGGAATCGATATATGAAGTCTGAGAAAGATTTAAACATCTTCTTAGTAAATGTCAACACCATGCTCTACCAGATTGGTTAATAATTTAAACATTTTATAATGGATTAGTAGAATCACTTAGATATATTATGCTGCTGCGGGTGGATCATTAATGTCAAAACCTTTTGATGAAGCATATTCTTTAATTGAAGAAATGACTACTAACAATTTTCAATGACCCTCTGAAAGGGTAAA